GGGTTAAGGCTTTTGGGGTTTAGGGTTTGGGGGTTTATGGCTTTCGGGGTTTAGGGTGCAGGGGCTTCTGGTCTTATAAAGGCACCAGTTCTTGGCGTTCGTCTGGTTGGCCGTTCGGACTTTAACCTTTTGGGCTTGCTATATATATATATATACAATAAGTAGGCCAAAAGTTGAACTTTTAGGAAGGGTTCACAAGTCAGCCAAGAGTTCATTAAGAAGATGGGGGGCCGGTGACACCACAGCTTCCAGCGGACTTCACTGGCGTCGAGCTCCTTTTCTCGGTGCTCGTGCCTGAGGGTCACGTACCTATACTAATATAGGGGCCTTAATGATTGCCTATACACCCTATTCTAGTTATTAAGGCCCCTATATTATACAGATCTATACAGTATCTAGTCTAGGGCCTATGTATATACGTACAGGTACATGGACCCCTGGGATTGTACCGGAGCTCATCAGTGATGCAGTAGTTGTTCAATATCCGGCTAATAGCCGGTTCACCAGCGTAGTCGTAGAACGATAGCAAGAAGCAGCCTCCCTTGATAAGGTTTGAACCTCCTTCTTAGCACAACAGCCTGAATAGTTCGAAGTACTATTCCTTAGAGTTCCATCCCGGTTATTCTTTCATCCACCCCAAAGACCTGTTCTGTTCGGGCCCCTATATGGGGTTTCCGAAAATAGGGGACCCTAATGTAGTACCCTAAACAATAGGATCCTTATTATAAGGACCCCCCAAAAAAAGGTACCCCTAATTTTCGGAAACTCCCATATAAAATGTTGTCCATTCTGTTTTCCGTCCGGCACGCAGTCCTCGGTTGCGGCCCTCGCAGTAGGGCGACGGAATGTAGGGCTTGCGAGCGCTCGCATAGCAATCCCAGAATGCCTGAAAGGATGCGCAAAAATGGAGTTGTTTTTGTGAAACACAAGGTATTTTGCTTGAAACAGAACTAAGAACTAACCCTAAACCCTAAACCCTAAACTAAGCCGTTTCCTTTTAGGGAGCGGAAGCCATCTGCTGAACCCTTGCTTCGAGGCCTGGGATCAAGTCGTTAGTGCTCCGAGCTATGGTTCGGAAATGCGAGACCCCGCGATTTCCATGAATGGAAAAGCTGCTACATGTGAAGCTAGAGGCGTTTAGGGTTTAGGGATTAGGGGTTTAGGGTTTAGGGTTTGAAACCTAAACCCTAAACCCCAAAACCTTCTTTACAAACTCAAGCCAAAGACTGAAACAGTCGGCATCTATGGACTTGCAAATGCATAGAACATGGCGAAGGTCCTGTTGGGTTCTGCTCTCGCTTTCGAGGGATCTAAAACAAAACCATGCTCTTTACCCCTAAACCCTAAACCCTAAACCCCTAAACCCTAAACCCTAAACCCCTAAACCCCTAAATCCTAAACCCCTGAATTCTAAACCCCTAAACCCTAGACCCTAAACCCGTGCAATTAAAAGAACAACTAAACCCTAAACCCGAAACCCTGAACCCTAAGAGAGCGTCGGCCCTCTTCGTGCTTACCCTAAGGGTCCACAAGGGTGCACAAGATTCGGGTAGTTATGCTTAGGGTTTAGGGTTTAGTGTCTAGGTAGTTATGCAGCACCGTTTAGGGTTTAGGGTCTAGGGTTTAGGGTTTAGGGTTTAGGGTTAGTTATGCAGGCTAGTGCTTGGCGTTCTTCTGGCTGGCTCTGAGTACTTTAGCTTTGTGGGTTTCTACATGAACTGTAACAAGCAGGCTAAAAGGCTAACTTTCAAGAGGGGTTCAGAAGTCAGCCAAGAGTATAAACCCTAAACCCCAAACCCTAACCCCCAACCCCCAAACCCTAAACCCTAAACCCTTTAGAGTATTCGAGACTAAGGTACTTGGACCCTTCGGATGAGATGGGAGGAGCCCCCAAGCCCTAGAGCCCTAAACCCTGAACCCTAAAACTAATATGGAGGGCCTTAGTAATTACCAATAGTCTTGTTGTTTTTTGTGTTGTTTTGGTGGGTTCCTTAATATAACTATAGTATAGTAGGCACCAAAACGCCATTCTAATTATTACCCTCGGGGCCCCGGTACCTAATGATCGTATACTCTCGCAAATACTGGCCTGTATAACTACTACCCGTAACCAAAGTGGCTATAGGACCCTCATAGAAGGTGTATATACCGCATAGAAGCCTCCCAGAAGCCCCATCGACCCTTAACTCCCCACCTGTAGTTTCCTTGAGCAAAGTACGTAATTATTGGGTCCTGTGGACCCTTAGGGTTAAGGCCCCTACATGAAGCTTCTAATTATAGTAGAATGGGCCCCAAAACCCCACTCGAATTATTAAGGCCCCTACATTAAGCCCTAAACCCTAAACCCTGAGCCCCGAATTCTTAAGGCCCCTACATTAAGCCAACCTCGCGTGTGAAGATTCGAACCAAGGCTCCTCACCCTAAACCCTAAACCGGTTTAGGGTTTAGGGTTTAGGGTTTAGGGGGTTCTGTCTCGGGTGTTTTGGGGTTTCAGGGTCCGATAACTGACCCTAAGGCTCGGGGGACTCCTATTTTAAGGCTTTCGGGCCCAAAGACCATACGGTATAAGGCTTAGGGTTTTGGGTTTAGGGTTTTGGGTTTAGGGTTTAGGGTTTAGGGTGCTATTTTGAGCCTTAGGGTGAGGATCAGGGCGGTGTGGAGCAAGGTGATTATAGCTATATCTTAGGAGCCCAAGAAGGACATAAGCATAGGCGCTTTATAGGGCCATCCCTACCTTATTGGGCTTCATTATAAAGGGGTTTATATGGGATATCCCTATCCTAATGTTTGCTTATGTGCTTTTTTTTGGGGGGGGCCCTAATATCTACTTATATCCCTAATTATGCTAGTCCTAACCCTACTCTATTATTCTTCCTAAATATAATAGTTCCCTGAACCCTTTAAACCCTAAACCCTAGACTCTATAACCTTACTTACTAAGTCCCATGATCCCCAATTTAGTTGCCCAATACCCAACCGTTGGATGCCCAGGCAAGGCTGAGCTGTCGCAGAGTCTCTTCATGAACGTGGCTTGTCTTGTTTCAGTGGTTTAGGCTTTAGGGTTTAGGGTTTAGGGTTTAGGTTAGGGTGTATTAGCTTCGCGTTCTTCTGGCTGGGTGTTAGGGCTTTAGTTTTTTAGGGTTTCTATATGAGTTATAATAGGCAAGTTTAAGTTTCAGGAGAGGGCTCAGAAGTCAGGCAAGGTGGCTTGCCTGGTTTCACAACCCTAAACCCTAAACCCTAAACCCTAAACCCTAAACCCTAAAACCCCAAACCGGAGGGGTTCGGAAGTCGGGCAAGAGGGCTTGCCCGGTTTTCAGGGGTTGCTCAGGCTGCGGAGGTTGGGTTCAGGCTCGGGATCTAGGGTTCGGGGATCGTGTCTAAACCCTAAACCCTAAACCCTAAACCCGAAATCCCTAAATCCCTAGATCCCTAAATCCCTAACCCTAGTTTTCCCTAAGGGTCCAAGTACCTAATAATCATATACTCTCCCAAATTAACCTAGATAACTACTATCCGTAACCAAAGTACCTAATTATTGGATCCTTTGGACCCTTAGGGTTAGAAGGTTTACACAGCTAGCATCAAAACTTTCCATATTCTCTCCCCGAAGCCTCGGAAAGGGGATTATACCCTCCGGCAGGGCAGGGTGTTGAAACCTGCAACCCTCTGACCTAAAAGCCCTAAAGCACTAACCCACCCAAAAAAAAACACAACATAAGGGTAGTTCTCTAAATTAGGGCATTAGGGTCCCTTTTGGGGTCCTTTTTACAAGGGTGCCGTACTATATCGGAGACCCCAAAAAGGGACCTTAATTTAGAGAACTACCCATAACCTTGGCTTTCTTTTGGTTGGCTCGTCGGACTTTAACTTTCTGGGTTTCTATATGGGTGTTTGTCAAAATGATGGTCCCTTTTGGGGTACCCTAAACATTAGGTACCCTAAACATTAGGTGCCGTATTATAATAAGGACCCAAGAAGGGACCCTAATTTTGACAACTACCCATATGCACACTAAGGGGTCCTTATTATAATACGGCACCTAGTATGAACTACAATAACTAGACTAAAAGTTTAACTTTCAGGAGGCGTTCAGAAGTCAGCCAAGTAACCCTAGTCGATCCCTAGAAGCAGCCCTGGAAGGATTTATTTGAAGGGGCCTACAGGGAGCCCCAAAGCCCTAAACACTGAAGCCCTTCCGTTTAGGGTTTAGGGTTTAGGGTTTAGGGTTTAGGGTTTAGGGTTTAGACTTTTTATTGGATCAGTTAAAGAATCCCTAAACTTACTTCCCCAATACCCAACCTTTAAACTTTTTGGGGTTCTCATAGTTTAGTAGTAATCTGACAGTTTAACCTTTATTTCCCTGGCTTAGTGGGGAAGTAAGTTAAAGAACCCCTAAAACCTTACTAAGTAGCTGACCTTAATCCATAAGCAGCCAAAATAGAACCCTAAACCCTAAACCCTAAACCCTAATCCATAAGCAGCCAAAATAGAACGAAGCCTAAGAATCCTCTTAGACACGATCGAACCCTTGTAGAAGCCCTTATAGAACCCTTCAAGGAGCCCTTTAAAGGGACCCGATAAACCCTATTCTAATGATTTAAGGCCCCTACATTACGTTCACAAAAAGCTTGGAACAAAGAGCTCTCACCCTAAACCCTAAACCCTAAACCCTAAACCCTAAACCCTAAACCCTAAACCCTGGAGGCCCTGCCGGTCGCCTTTGGCTCACTTGGCATCGGGAACGCGGTTCCAGCGTGTGATCCAGGAGTGACTGTTCAGGGTTTTAGGGTTTAGGGGTTCAGGGTTTGGGGTTTAGTTTGGGTTTGGGGTTTAGGGTTGTGGGTTAGGGTTTGGTTCACTTGGAGGTTCCAGCGTGTGATTCAGGAGTGAGTCTCTGGGGGTTTAAGGTTTAGGTTTTAGGGTTTAGGGGTTGGGGGTTTAAGGTTTGCGGTTTAGGATTGCAGCGAGCGAGTTGGTATTGATAGATATTGATATGTGTCGGCTGTGAGAACCTTAGGGACCACATGGCCCTTGAACCATATGTAAGCCCTTTAGTGGAGCTTGACCCTGGTAAATCAAACTGTTGTGGTGTTTAGCCAGTCCTTCTTACTTTGCTCTCCGAAATATATACATCTTTTAAGTTTTCGGACGTCTAACCCCTTGATTCTGCTATCGTACGAAGGTGTTTAGTCCAAGTAGTCCATACTACTGCTCTTTGTTGCCCAGAAGGACTAGCGACCTAAGTGCCCTATGGGTAGCGTGTGCAATATCTAGCATCAACCGTCTTCTAACCCAGGCGGCTGCATTGAAATTTCAGCTGCCACAAACACAAAGCAACTGCATGCAGGTCTCGAATAAAGGAGCTCTGAACTAGTAGTAATAATAGTAGTAATGGACTGATTTGATAATCCGGCCTATGATGGCTAATACTAATTCATAATGACCTGAAAGGATGCAGAGCACAACCCAGAAGAAAACAGCTTAATCCTCGGAAGTCTTTATCTGCGCTTGGGTATTTCTGCGTCGAGGAGGGTGGCAGCGGCGACAACATGGCTGCAGAGGAGGGGTGGGGCAAGGTTTTGGCTTTAGCTCATGGGTTTAGGGTTTAGGGTTTAGGGTTTAGGGTTTAGTGGAACCCCAAAGAGTTGGAAACCGGATTAAGGACAAGTAGTGCTGGGATTCCCTGTACATTACTCTTCAGGATGGAGGCTATTGGGTTTGCAACTATTGGGCTTCTACTGTAGATCCCGGAGACGGCTTTCTACCAAGTGCCCCCAAACCCGAAACCCTAAACCCCGTAGTTGTATGAGGTGCCCACACTTGGGGGTTCTACTTTTCTAGATCCTCCCGGGTGTCCTCGTGGAGGCCCGGGTAGGCCCTAGTTGTGAGTGGTCACTTGGGTTATGATGGAGGGTAGGTTGGCTTGGGTTTAAAGGCCACCTGCGACCTGCGCCTTCCCTATATCCTAGCCCCGAAGCCCCAAACCCTTAAAACCCTTAAGCCCTAAACCCCTAAACCCTAAACCCCTAAAGTCCCAAACCCTTAAAGCCCTTAAGCCCTAAACCCCTAAACCCTAAACCCCTAAAGTCCCAAACCCTTAAAACCCTTAAGCCCTAAACCCCTAAACCCTAAACCCCTAAAGTCCCAAACCCTTAAAACCCTAAACCCGAACCCCCTAAACCCTAAACCCCTAAAGTCCCAAACCCTTAAAACCCCTAAGCCCTAAACCCCTAAACCCTAAACCCCTAAAGTCCCAAACCCTTAAAACCCTTAAGCCCTAAACCCCTAAACCCTAAACCCCTAAAGTCCCAAACGCCTAAACCCTAAACCCCTAAAGTCCCAAAAACCCTAAACCCCTAAAGTCCCAAACCCTTAAAACCCTAAACCCTAACCACCTATGCCTTGTCCCAGTGGGAAGGCCAAGAGGGCTTAGCTCAAGGTGTGGGGACGGCAGAGACTGCAGACTGAGACCTGGGTGGTGAAGAGCTTTAGGGGTTCAGGTGTTTAGGGTTCAGGGCTTAGGGTTTAGGGTTTAGGGCTTAGGGTTTAGGGTTTAGGCGTCTAGGAATCAGGGATTAAGGGGTGCAGGTGTTTAGGGTTTAGGGTTTAGGGCTTAGGGTTTAGGGTTTAGGACTTAGGCGTCTCGGATTCAGGGATTAAGGGGTTCAGGTGTTTGGTTTAGGGCTTAGGGCTTGAGATTTAGGGTTTAGGGTTTAGGGTTTAGGGCTTAGGCGTCTAGGATTCAGGGGTTATGGGGTTCAGGTGTTTAGGGTTTAGGGCTTAGGGTTTAGGGTTTAGGGCTTAGGCGTCTAGGATTCAGGGATTAAGGGGTTCAGGGGTTTAGGGTTTTGGGCCTAGGGTGAAGGGTTTAAGGTTTGGGGTTCAGGGTTCCTGGGCTTAAGCCGTTTGGGCAAGCATGCATATAATTTGGGATCCGGGCCCAGGTGGCCGTGGTGAGAACCTTACTGCACCACAAGGGCAACCATCTATAGTCCACGAGACAACTATCTCAAGCACCGCAAGGATAAG